CAATACATATTTATTGAATGTCTACTTACCGTACGTATGAATCACAAAAAGGCACTGGGAATTAAAATATACCTTGGACATTTTTGTGATTTTTCTAAAATTAAAAATGTCAGTTAATTTCAGCATGATGAGCTAAAAAATATGTAACTATTTATTTACATAACAGGAACCAAATGTGTACAAATTTAAATATGCACTCATTTGGACATTAGTTGCAAAAATATATTTAATTATTTGTAATTAAATATTTAGATTATTTTAAAGGCTAAACATGTAATACATTTTTCTTTTAATAAAAAAGATGAAAGTTACATAATTATTTATAAATATCAATTTTCCAATTATGCTTATCTTTCATGCCTGCTCCTGAAGATAATCATGCACACAACTATTCAAATGGCTAACTGATTAATAAGAAAGTCTTAAGTGCTATAACAAGATTGTTTTAATCAAACACGCATTTCTAGTGTCTCTCCAAATTGCATACAATTTCCTAAGAAAATTCACCATGAGAGAAGATTGCTAGAATACGTAATATATGCTTTATACTTTCGAAAAAAAAAAAAGAGAAAGAATTGAATAGAAAGGCTGGATTGTGAGAGAAGACAAACACCTTTTGAGTGTAATGTGCGTGAAATTGTATGCTTCCCTAAGAAAGACAATTTGTCAGCAGGATATAAAGTAAAGATGCTATGCTCAGAAATACTCTGAGTAAGTAGTTAGTTGTTTTATTGTTTTCTCTCTAACACAAGTCATCCTTATAACCCTGCTGAATGAAGGCAGCTCTAGATGCCACAATTTCAATCTCAAATCAGGTCAGAAGGGAAGGAGGTAGGGTGAGAAGAAGAAGAAAGATGGAAGAACAAAAATATGTCATTGGTAAATGTGAGGTTTAACCTCTTGAATATTTGGGTCATCTCCTGGGGAGAAAATATCCACTACGGAAGAATATCAAACCTCCTAAGAAAAGGCAAAGGCTACAAAAGTCACAGTGGAACTAAGGTGTGCCAGGAACAGAGAAAAGTATCGATTCATCTGTTCTAAATTTTGTCGGAAAAAGTATGTCTGTGAACCCAAACAAGAAAATACAGAACAGACCTAAGAAGGTAAGACGTATAAAAGATTAAATATAAATTCAGTGATTCAAAAAATGAGCACAGAACACTCAAAGAAGTCGGTCTCGGTAAACAGTTTAAAAATTAGCTCTTATTTTCTTTCTCACTGGCACCTTTAAAAATCATATCATTTGATTGATTCAAGCTACGATTCCTCTAAAATTGTCGTTGTTCAATTATGTACCTATTTAGTGACTACTAAAATTCTGTGCAATGATCACAAGTTTTCTCAGATACTTTAAACTTTACTCCTCTTATGTGATACAATGAACTTTATTGACTCTGTCTATATTACCTTTAATATGCTTCGTTATTAAGTTTTTCTATAAATTTTGTTTTTCTACATTTTTCCATGAAAAAGTCTCACTTTAAAAATGAATACTGGCATGCAAACCTACACACACAAGTATGTCTAAAGAAAAAAGTCAGTAATAATATTTCTTCCACTTATCAATATTAAGAATAAAACATTCATAAATTCTAAAGATATTAATATAAACACTAAAGTTTGTGGCCATAAATCCAAAATAGAAATGGATATTACTAAACTGTAAAACAAACATAAATTAACATTGTTTGTTCAGTTGTTTAATATTAATATTAAATCCTAAGCCTAAAGTTTCCATCACACTAATGAAATAGGGATCTCTTATCAAGAATCATAAAAATATCATTAAGCACACGGATTTTCTCTAATACAGGTAATTAAAAATAACTATCTTACTTAGGAGCCTCATTCTAAATTGCAAGTAGTATTTTCAGGGTACAAACCAGTTTCACCATAAAGTTTTAAAAAGTGGGAGAATAAAAGTTTGCAGTGATCCAGCTGCTTTAAGAAAAAGAACAAAAACATCTTAAAAATAAATAGGCAAAGGACTAAGAAAAAGGGTCTGCTCCCTTCAAGCACTTTCTTTTACCACATGCCATTAATATACTGATGAAAATTATGAGTTAAAAATATTACAGGAGATTAAATAGCTCATGAAAATATAAATAAAAAACAATTATGGAGAGAAATACAGCTAGGTCCTTAAGAAGAGGTACTAGAAACAGACTCAAATCTAGTCTTTGTCATTCTCTAGCTAGTCTACATTTTACATGGGACATTTCACTTAATCTACTGAACTTCAGTTCCTCTTCAGAAAAATGGTAATACACGCAACAGGGAGGATCTTGTGAATATTAAAAAAACTACGCATGGAAACACTATCCATGAAGAAAATGGCATGTGGTTAAGTGTCAATAAACTATAACTATTTTAAATAAGTAAATCTTTTCTTATTAAAGAGTCATGATATTATGCTTAAAAAAAGAGAAACAGCTCAGCGTTGTTATAAATCAGGATTTATTAACAGCTCAGGGAAGGTCTACAAGGTGAGATCCAGGAAAAGGACCTAGCTTTATGTCAAGTAATCAGACTATATTATAAACCCAGTGATATGGTTCTGTGTGTGTCGCCTCCAAATCTCATGTTGAAATGTGACCTCCAGTGTTGGAGGTAGGCCACATAGGATGTGTTTGGGTCATGAGGGCAGATCCCCCATTAATGGTTTGATGCCCTCTCCACGGTAATAGGTTCATGTGAGAACTGGTTATTAAACAGAGTCCGAGAGCTCCCTGTCTTGCCACGTGACGTACCTCCTCCCCCTTCACCTTATGCCATGAGTAAAATCTCCCTGAGGCCTCAACAGGAGTAGATGCTGGTGCTATCCTTGTACGGCCTGTAAAATCCTTAGCCAAATAAATAACTTTTCTTTCTAAATTACCCAGTCTGAGCTATTCCTTTATAGCAACACAAAACAGACTAAACAAACACACCCGTGGTCTCTGATTTCTGGTTCTTTCTCCTAAACGAATCTACCTTTCAAGTGAGTCACTTATTTTATTTTATGATTTATACTTTCCTTTGAATTATTTTCTTTTCAAATCATGCTAAGTTTATTAAATGAATTCCAATTCTGCATTACACTTTTAAGTAAACATACTCCAGATAATTTAAACAGACTCGATCAGGCTACAACTTATAAATTAAACAGTGTATAAAATGGCAAGTGGGTATACCTGGTGTATAATTCTTATTTAATGAAATTATCAGATAAATATCTTAATATAATATAGACACATTTCTAAGGCAGTCAGTAAACTTTCGGGATTATCAGAATTCTATAAATATAGGATATTAAGGAACCAAATTGCCCATCTCCAAAAATTTATGAGAGAGGAAATCTGTGGTAAACCATAATCGTTTTATGCAAAAGTGTATGAGCAAGTTCTTGCTTATATTAAAGTGATTTAAGTAGACGATATTTCAGAATGAGTTTGGCAGAGGATTTTGAAGTGGCTATCCTCAAAGACATTCTAAAGGAATACAGGAAATTGAAGAGACAGCTGTGAAATTCTTTAATTTAAAAAAAAAATTATGATAAAATCTACAATCTGAAATTTCACTTCAGCTTTTATGTTTCAAAATATGAACATAAAAATATGAATGCAAGTTTGCTAAAACTGTCTTTAAAAGCAAGGTACAGCTTATTGGATTTTTTAATAAAATGCCTTTGTAGAACAGGAGTCTTTGTATTTCACAAAGGTCTTATTATGCAATCCAAGTATAATTGTTCCAATTCCAAGATGGTTTACACATTTTATTTCTTTAAAATATAACTAGTCAAGAGTAATGGTCAGTAGGGGCTTTTTCTTTTCATAGAAGGGCCTACAGAGATAACAGTATAAGAAGCAAAACCTAAATGAGATATCAATAAATCCTGTACTTTGAGGTGTTTTCATAACAATGAAGATCAGCTTATAAAACTTCACGAGATAAACTTTCTCTAATCATTCATTCTATAAATGAAGCTAATGAAATTTTCTCTCAATTGTTTGCCTTATAATTTTAAATTTTCAATTAATCTCTTATTGGAAAAATTTCTATTATTGAAGTATGTATACTTTCAGCTCATGAATAATGTCCTGCTTCTTTAATAAGCATGAATGAGGCAAGCAAGCCTAGAAGTATTTTTACAAAAGTAAACTTGCTGATCCCCAGATACATTGCTTCTTATGAAACATCAAAGGAAGCTGAAACCTAGGATTTGTTTTTGATCCCAGGTGTTTTCTATCTTTGGGATGAGCTGAGTATCTATATAAGAATACATAATTTTCTGAGTGATTTTCACTAAGAATTTCATAAATAATTAACAAGTTAGATAATTTTTTTGGAAATGGTGATTCTTATTTTGAGTGGGAAAGTCAGAAAATGTTTCATTTTATATTTTTTGATTCTTCATTATTCCTGAAGAAAAAAATATGTTGTTGACATACACCATACCTGATAAAAACATCACAAAGACATACTTCTTGAAACTTTAAAACAGATAGTCTAAAGAGTACTTTAGTTCTTTTAATCTTTATATTTTCTTTCCATCTGGTCTACTCTCTCTGAATGAGAATATTTCTAATTCTCAAAATGTTGATAGCAGATGAAGCTTAGATATAATTTTTCTATCAAATTTAAAATTTATCCATTTCTAAACATTATATATACAATTGTATTGTTCATGTTCACTTCTTATCTGCTTGGACCTAGAGGATTGGTATAACACTCTGCTAATCTTTTTCTAAATGTTTCATATTCTTGCATCAATTAAGAAAAGTGTGTTAGAATAGGCACTCATATACAGAAATAATTAGAAGTAAATTCTGTAGGACAGGGTAGGCAATATCTAATTCTGATGGCGGGGAGGGTCTGTGATCCTCAAAAATTAATATTAGCCCATTTCTTCATTAAATTTATGTGATTTATGTTTTCATAGAGAATATTTGTTAATGCATGCAAAACACAGTTTAATATCTTTTCTCTTTCCAAAAAAAGTACAGGAATATACATACTGTAAGGGACACATTCATACTGCACTTCAAGGTATTTATAGGTTCCTGGACACGGGTCTGGAAAAACATCAGGACCTGCCACCACTGCACACTGGGTTCTGTTATTGCATCTGAAGTCAAAAGAAAGGAAAAGAGTAGTAAGCTTATGCAAAGTTAAATTATTATCAACATCAACACTGATTTTATTTTAGTTCCTGTTACACAGATTTAAATAAGGCTTTGCTTGATTTGGGGCTTCAGGCCTGTTAAGAAAATATCTGCAGTACACTTTTTAGAAACTAGCCATTAAAATCAATCTATTCAGCTTGCTGTTAACTAATTTAGTATTTGGTCCAATACAGCATGATTTCTAGTTACAAGTTAAATATTGCTGAAGAAACACTAACTAGTCCACAGGATATTGCTAATGTGGACACAAGTAAGAAAGACTATTTGATAGGAAAGACTCAGTCCAGTACAAAAAAAAAAAAAAAAAAAAAAAGTATTTTAGAAAATATAACCACAGAGTTTATTAGGCAGTTGTAAAATAAATTCACTGACTATGATGACATTCATTTTAAAGGTATGAAAAGTGGTATTGAAAAGCTTTATCTAAGCCTAACATATTAGAAAAGTGTTAATATTTAAATATTAAAATGGATATTTGAATTTGTTTTGTGTAAATTATATAATATTACTGATTAAAACCATTTTAGGAATTAATTGTTATGTTATTTTTGTTCAGTCAAATAATGATATGATCCTCATGGATTACTTATCACAAATGCCAATATCTTATCATTTAATAGAATGCATTTAAATTTATAAAAATAATAACATACCACTATTAAAACATAAACATAAAATAGAACTGGAGGTTATCATGTTAAGTGAAATAAGACAGGTGCAGAAAGACAAGCTTTGCATGTTCTTATTTATGGGAGCCATTGAACCCATGGAGCTATAAGGTAGAAAGATGGTAACCAAAGGCTGGGAAGGGTAGTGAGGAGCAGGGAGGGCATGAAGTGAGGATGACTCCTGGGTATAAGACGGGTTAGAAAGAATGAATACGACCTAGCATCTGACAGCACAATTGGTGTGATCAGATCTGATGGCACAATTATGATTCACTATAGTCAATCATAATTTAATTGTACATTTAAAAATAACTCAATGTATATAATTGGATTGTTTGTAGCACAAAAGATAAATACTTGAGGTGATGAATATCCCATTTACCCTGATGTGATTATTATACATTGAATGCCTTTTTCAAAACATCTCATGTTCCCATAAATATATACATCTACTATATCCATACAAAAATAAACAAATAAATAAAACCATAGGGGAAAAAAAAACATAAATACAAACGTGGACACTTTTGTGGCAAATAGGCTAAACAAATCTGAATTGACTAATTCATGGGGAAAAATAAACATGTTAAAATTAATTATAATTCTGAAAAAGATATCAATATTCACAGTGGACTAATTAGTGTGAATTTTACTCAGAAACTTTCTAAATTCAAAAATGTATCCTTAAGTATATTTTCTATAGAAAAGTAATGGCTTTTCCTACCCTTAATATTGACACTAAGTATATAATATGAGTTACTATAATCATCCCGTTTTATGTTCTTGTTTATTTATTTCAGAAATATAACACCTCAGGGCTAGATTTTTCTGTTAATTCCTGAAGGAGATGTTCTGTTCTCTGACATGACCTCAGAATACTTGCAAGGTTACTGGCAACATAAGGAGCATCTAGAGCAGAACTCACTTTGATTTAGTGTGAAAATACATTATGTTTACCTGAGGCTACCATTTGTCAGGTTTAATGAGGATTTTGTTTAGTCCCTAAATTAACTTTGATTCATTAATGAATGTCTTAAGCTGAAAAATATATTCTGTGTTATTCCTGAAAGATGAATAAAAACCAATATCCCATAATCATCTGGCAATTTAGTATAACAGTTAATCCTGAGAGTTAACACATTAAAAGGTTTTTCTATGCCAGAGGCTGATGATCAAATAAATGTATAATAACATTAAAGTAAATGTGGTTGTCCTCACACATGCACCGGAAATATGTTACTTTGATGTTTTGGTGTACTGATACTGTTTTTTAAAAAAGTTGATCTTTCCTACTATAAAGAAATTATTTGAAGAAGCTTTTCAAGTCAAGTGACATGTTTTTAGCAATTAAAACAATACAATTTTCACATTACACCTTAAATAAATAACCTCATAAATCTAGCTCAGGTTTTTAATACAATAGGCAGGGATATGAACTCATAAAGTTATTTTTGTCTTTGTTATAGAAAAATTAGCAATTATCAGGAACACATTCAAAGTAGACATAATTGAAAAGTGGCACTATAAAATTTAATATATATATTCAGTAAATACAATATTAAATCTGATGTGTGAAAAAAATATATATACATACATACATATCTCCTTTTTTTACTATCTTGGTCTACAGTCATTTTATTTCCCATTATTAACCTTGTAAATTACTACAGCTCTAATTTAAAAAAATATATTTAGAAGCAATATCTACTCTTGTAATTTTCAAACATAAACAGGCAACTGCCAACCTTTTATTTAAATAATCAATGTATGTTATAAACAGATCAGCTTACTACTCATTTTTTACTAGAGCATTTACTCATTTCTTACTAGAGCATTTATTAAAATTTGTAATTATGGAAATATATATTGCAAAGTCATGTTGAATCAATTGGGATTTCAAATGGTTATGCTTATATAGATTAGATTAGAAAACATAATCTGGAGTCTATACATATCTATCTATCTATCTAAACGTGCATCAACCAATTCACATACATATTATCAAGTTGTAAAATACTAATTATTAGTCTATATGTAAGAAAATTGTAAAAGCAACTATCTGTTGTAAATATTAGTTACCATTGTGAGTTCCAAATTGCTTTTTTAATATTAACCAAAGATGAGTCAAGAAAGCCTTCTAATTAATGAGATAGTATCTGTTAAGTAGTATATAAAACAAAAAATGTTATGTCTATATTTATAGTCATTATCATCATTGTTCTATATATTTTATAATATTCTTCTATATAATTTGTAACATTCACCTTTCAAAATAATTTATGATTCTATTACTATGTTAATATGAAATATTCTTTATAAATTATAATTATTAAAAATAAAAAGAATAAAGGTAGATTCAATCTCTGGAATACTATTTTTATGTGGGACACATTATAATATAGATTGTTTGAAGACTAGCTATATTTTGAAAACAAGAGTTTAAAGGATCTGTCCTTTACTTGGCTTTCTTTTTTTAAATGACTTCAGCTACTGTAAGTTAAAATATATTAAGATATAATTAAAGAGTTGTAAACAATTCAGTCCACAAAGACTCCCTTTATAGTTATTTCAAAATTTTTAAAATACATTCTAAAATACTATAGATAAAAAAGTGAGAAAAAGTAATCTAATGTTCTCAAATGCCTAAAAGTTTCATCATTTATTTTTAATGTAAACATTGGAACAATAAATTAAAAACATGCTTTTTAGTATCCCTCATACCTGGTGTTTTGATATATGTATACACTGGAAAATGATGACCACAATAAAGCTAAGTAACATATCCATCATCTCACAGTTTTTTCTGTGTTGTGTGGTGAGAAAATTTAAGATTTACTCTCACAGAAAATTTCTAGTATACAATACAGTATTGTTAACTGTGGTTATCTGACTGTACGGTAGATTTCCAGAATTGACTCTTCCTGCATAACTGAAACTTTTCACCCTTTGATCAACATCTCCCCATTTCTCCTATCTTTCTAGCTCCTGGCAACTGCCATTCTACTTTCTGCTTCTAGAAGTTTGACTTTCTTAGATTCAACATATAAGCGATATCAAGTAGTATTTTTCTTTCGATGTCTCACTTATTTCGCTTAGCATAATGTTCTCCAGGTTCATACATGTTATCACAAATGACAGAGTTACTTTCATTTTCAAGGCTGAATAATATTTCACTATATATTTATGTATACCACATTTACTTATTATTCATTCATCTGCTGACTGGCAGTTAGGCCAATTCCATATATCTCGATTATTGTGACTAGTACTGCAAGGAATATGAGACTATAGATACCTCTTTAATTACTGATTGATTTATTTTACATGTACATACCCAGAAATGAAATTCCTGAATCATATGGTAGTTCTATTTTTAATTTTTTGAAGTACCTACACACTGTTTTTCATAATGGCTGTAACAATTTACATTTCCATCAATAGTATATAAGGATTCTCTTTTCTCTACATTCTCATCAAAACTTATCTTTTGTCTTTTTGATTATAGCCATCCTACCAGGTGTGCAGTGATATCTCATGGTGGTTTTGATTCACATTTCCTTGATGATTTGTGAAGTTGAGCACTTTTTAATATACCTGTTGGCCATTTGTCTTCTTTCAAGAAATATTTATCATTTTTAGTTACAGATAGACTGAGTCCACTTTTAAATTAGGTTGTTTTCTTGCTATTTAGGTATTTAAATTCCTGCTATACATTGGATATCAATCGCTAAATAAATGTGTAGACCAACTGTACAGAAGAGATATCCAAGGAATTAATCCACACGTTTATGGTCAATTAATTTTCAACAAAGATGCCAAGAATACACAATGAGGAAAGGACTAGTCACCCTTCAATAAAAGATGTTGGGGAAACTGGATACCTACATGAAGAAGAATGAAACTGGATCACTAATTTACACCATATACAAAACCCAACTCAAAATATATTAAAGATTTACATGTAAAACCTAAAACTATAAAAAATATTAGAAGAAGACATAGGTAAACACCTACTTGAAATTGATCTGGGCATTTTTGGGGGCAATATGACCCCAGAAGCACAGGTGGAAAAAGAAAAAATAAAGAAATTGGAGTGCATCTAATTACAAACCTTCTGCACAGTGAATAAAACAATTAACCAAGTGAGGACACAAGCTACAGAATGGGAGAAAATACTTTTAAACCTATTTGTCACTTCTTTCTGAGATGAATAATGCTACCCTCAATTTTACAGAATTGAAAATGGAATGTAGTTGTTAAATGGCTTTTCAGAC